TGCGATTCTGAAGAGTTAGTTTTCTGGGGTAGTATGGTCAAGGGTTCTGTCAGTCAGGAGAACAGCTCTGGAGAAAGGCATTTAGTGAACTATGAAGTGGTTTCCCTCTTCATTGAGTCCATTATTTCTCACAACACTTAAGATTTTATGACTACATGCTTAATGCTCTCTAGAGGTGAGTGGACTTACTGACTTCCAGTAGATACCTCACCAGGTGGGGAAACCCACAGGTGTTGAGTCTGTGCTGAGGCTAACACAAGAATAATGTGTTTGGAGCTTTAAAAGTAGAGCACTAATGTGTGGACCACATTCTTCCAGAGGTGAAGATGACGGAGTGTGTAAGCACCTAGAATTAGATTAGCCCAGTGAGTGAAGAAACAGGTCCAATGGGGCCTTTAGGGGAGAGCTGAGACCAGGAAGGCCTAGGTCAAATCTGCAAAGTGCGCAAAGCCAACTTCGTTTATGGAGATGGGGAGTTGCTCCAGCTTGGATGAAGGTGGGGTTTGAAGAGAGCAGATTAGGAACAAATGAGGGGTTATGTAATCCAAAGACATTTTTGAGAGTTCCAAAGCCAAATTCTTGGGCAGATGGTGCAGGGTCTGGCTGGTGTTAGGACTATTTGGTCCTTATCCTGGACCTGGAGGAATTTCAGCTATGTCAGCCTTTTTCCCTATGAGATACCTAGGGCATGATTCTGTTTCCCTAGAAGGGGGACAATTCTGCCGGTATAGCTCACTCACCCAGCGTAGAAAACATTCTCCTGGCAATGACTCAGTGATATGCTGAACTTGCTGAGTCTTAAGATTGAAGGGGAGAAAGGGGACATTTCTATAAATGAGAACACCATCCAGGGCATTGAGGGAATTTATTAGGTCTGTTCAACTCCATAATAACATAATAACAAACAGAACCATGACTAATGGCTTAGGGATTCTTGTGAGGCAGGTCTTAAGTCCAGACCTTTCTTCCTCATTCCTAACTCCCTTTCTGATGCTTTCCCATTCCTAACTCCCAAGCCTAACTCTGGGCTTCATTGTGGCTTTTCTGCTTAATCTTAGTTACCTGTATTTCCAATCATTGATTCTTTTAGGACTTGGAAATTTAGAACATTCTACCATCTTGGATCTTTGTAATTTGTACTTAGAGGACCAAGGGAGTATCAAGATCTAGACTTGCACCAGAGTTGAATAATAGAATCTTCTTTTTCTCTTCCAACAGTCCTTTATTCTCATTCTCTCTATGTCTCTTTCCCTTCTCTTCCCTCTTTCTTCAACATAAGAGGAAAGAATGGAAACAGAAAACTAAAATTAGACATACCTGACCAATGATTCTGCTTTGGGCAATGGAAAGATAAATCATACCCACATTTCTGTTTTTCCCAGGATCTGAAGCACAACCTTGACTGTTTGGGCAGTTGGCTATTCTGGGGTACATTTCAGAAATAACTCATGTTTATTTATCGCTGGATATTTATAGCATCGTTTCAGAGTTGGTTTCCAGTAACCCCACGAAGGATCATGGGCTCCAGCAACAGCAGAGGAGACTGCAGAGAGGACCTGAGCAGGGAGGGATACTGGCATTGCTAGAGGCTATAGCCCCTCCCTCTGCTTAGTGTTTCTCCAACTGAGGTTGTGGGGCTAAGGGGCGGGTACTGAAAAACAAGACTTGAGCTTTGTTTTTCTGTGAGTCTTCCCGGAAAGGATGTTAGAGTCTAAATCGGATTACTTCTCCAATTTGATGGAGTGTGGATACACACACACACACACACTCACGCACAGATACTTTGAGCTCAGGCAGAGATAAGTGTTGACATTTCTGGAGGCACAAAACGATCATGAATTCCTGAGCAGTCACCCATAGACCTGAGCTGCCTAGGAATGCTGACTGTTCCAGGCACTGACATCATTCCTCTTCCAGCTCCGAGAGGAACCCTCTGACCCCCAGGTCTTAGGGCAGTTATTTTTAGCCTGCAAACCCTACCCATTGGCATTCCCTTGGTGTCCTCAGGGAGCCAGGTTTCAGGAAGGGCCTTTGACTTCACTGAACTTCCAGTTCTGATCTCTGCCTGAGAAAGAACCAAGAGTGAGGCGTAAGAGATGAAGGGAAGTGGGTGATTGGTGGCACACGCCTTTAATCCCAGCACTCGGGAGACAGAGGCAGGCAGATCTCTGAGTCTGAGGCCAGCCTGGTCTACAGAATTCCAGGACAGCCAGAGGTACACAGAGAAACCTTGTCTTGAAAAAACAAAAGAAAAAAAAGGGTGCTGGGTGTGTGTGTGTGGAGCACATCTGATCCAGCATCTTCACTGGGCTAGAGAGGTTAAATGGTTTATTCAAGCTCAAACCACCGATTGTAGATTTGCCCTCCCAGCCTTCCTACAGATTGCTGTTTCTTTCACTTAGTGGTTCCCAAAGAAGTTGCCCTTAGAAACCTTTGCACTCTAGAAAATTATTTGTGTGTAAGTATGTATGTGTATGCATGTGGTATATATGTGCATTTGTGTTCCTGTGTGTGTGTGTGTGTGTGTGTGTGTGTGTGTGTGTGTGTTTGTGTTGAGGTGAAATTACTCTCCATCTTATTGTTTGTTTTTTTAATTTAATTTTTTGAGAACTTTGTACATGCGTGTTGTATCTATATTACTCCGTCCACCTGCTCAAATGGCTCCAATGTTCCCCCTCCAAAATTCGGTCTCTTCTTTAATTACTATTTGTGGTCTTATATAGTTTATAATCTAATAAAGTCACTGAAGATCAGAATGCAAAGCCAGCTACACCAGACTGGGCCGTGGTGGCACACACCTTTAATCCCAGGACCCAGGAGACAGAGACAGATGGATCTCTGTGAGTTCAAGGCCACCCAGGACTACATGGAAGTGAATCAGTCTAAAGGAGGAACAGAGTTCACACCTTTAATCCCTAGAGAGGTATATAAGATAGGAAGAGGGCATTCAGTATTCAGTCTCAGGGCAATTAGTCTCCAGACACGTTGAGGTCAGGATTGCCCCAGCCCTGGTAGAGGTAAGAGCTCTCTGGTAGCTTGGCTGTTTTGCTTTTCTGATCTTCAGCTTGAATCCCAATATCTGTCTCTGGGTTTTTATTGTGCATGCTACAATTATTGTTAGGTGTGTGTGTGTGTGTGTGTGTGTGTGTGTGTGTGTGTGTGTACCTAAACATACACTTGTACACTTGTGTGGACTTGTGTCCAAGACTGAACACTTTGGATTGGGGATTAGACATCCTATGTGGTAACTCTTTCCTGGGGGAAATTAATTCTCTCTTAAGAGCATTGACATCTTGTAGCTCTTCAACTAGGGGTGGGGCCATGTGGAATTTCCCCTGTCCACATTGGCTTGTCAACTAGCATTGCCACTATGCTGTTCTTTCCACCTTAATTTTTGAGACAGGGTCTTACACAGAATCCGGAGCTCACAAATTTGCTAAGACCAGCTGGCCAGTGAGCCTAGGGAACCTTCTGTTTCTGCAACTCCAGAACTGGGAGTATAAGTGCATGGCACCATGTCAAAAGTGCTGTCACCATGCTCAACGTTTGACATGGATGCTGGGGATTCATCTTATGTCTTTATGCTTGAGCTGCAAGTATTTCACCTACTGAGTCAAATCTCCAGACCCTGGGAAATTGTTGATGATCCCAAAGGAGTTATCCTAGTCAGCATTAACTCTCAAGGTCACACAACCTAGAATCATCCGAGAAAAGAATTTTGATTGAACAGTTGTCTAAATCAGGTTGGTCTGTGGGCATGTCTGTGAGAGATGGTCTTTATTGCCTTAATTGATGTAGGATGGTACCTATCCCTGGGCAGGATATATATATGAATGAGCCAATAAATGAGCAAGCAAAGAGTGTTCCTTCATAGTTTCTGCTTAAAGTTGCTGCCATGACTCCCCACAGCCTCAATGATAGCTTGTGATCTGGAAATTTAAGCTAGACATTTTCTTTTCCTAAATTGTTCTCGGTCAGCCTAGCATTGGTGGCACACACCTTCCATCCCAACAATCGAGAGGCAGAGGTAGGCAGATGTCTGTGAGGCCAGCCTGGTCTACAGAGGGAGTGCCAGAATAGGCTCCAAAGTTACACAGAGAAACCCTTTCTCAAAAAACAAAAAAATTTGGTTTTGGTCAGAGTATTTTGTCATAGCAAAAGAAAGTAAACTAGGACAAGGTCTTGTCTGTATGGATTGTGTCTGTCAATATATGCCATAAAAATTAAATCTGAGAGATTGTGAAGATAGCTAAGTGAATAAAGTCCTTGTCTTATAATAATGGGATCCTGAGTTAGACCCCCAGGGTTCACATTAAAATTTGGACATAGTGGTGCACACCTGTAATCCCAGCAACAGCAAAGCACAAGCAGAAGGGTTCTCCGGCTTGCTGCACTGTCACTCAAAATGAATTGGTTAGTTCAGGTTCAGTTAAAAACTCTGTTTCAAAAAGTAAAGAGTGACTTCAGTATGAAGATGTTTGCTTATAGCCTCTGCATTCACAGACACAGGGGCTTATGCACTGATGCACACACAAGTATGTACACACACAGAGACACACACACAGACAAACACACACACACACACACACACACACACACATACAAAGCTGAGAAATCAGGCAGATATATTGTTAGTTTGAAACTATCCTGGGTGACATAGCAAGATTCACTTTAAAATAAATAAGTTAATAAATACAGCTGAGAACCACAACATGCATTTATTAATACAGGGTAAGTATTATAATAAAATAAGTTATGACAATTGTATTATTTAGATACAAAATAGTGGAAAAGTGGCATTACTCTATTTTGTTTATTTTTTAATTGAAAATAAATATTTTCAAACAATATATTCTGATTATGGATCCTCTCCCTCATTTTCTCACTGACCTTCCCCACCTCTGCACCCATCCAACTCCATGTCTTCTTTCTCTCTCTCTTTACAAAACAAATAGGCAAATTTAAAACAAGGACAAACAAAGAACAAAGAAAAGGCATGATATTACTTGACCAGAGTCGAAGTGACAGAATTTGAAGACATTAAATCAGGTTACAGAATAGATTTTTATTTTGATGAAAATCCTTACTTTGAAAATAAAGTTCTCTCCAAAGAATTTCATCTGAATGAGAGTGGTGACCAGTCATCAAAGTCCACGGAGATCAAATGGAAATCTGGAAAGGATTTGACAAAACGCTCAAGTCAAACACAGAATAAGGCCAGCAGGAAGAGGCAGCACGAAGAGCCAGAGAGCTTCTTTACCTGGTTTACTGACCATTCTGATGCAGGTGCAGATGAGTTAGGAGAGGTCATCAAAGACGATATTTGGCCAAACCCCTTGCAGTACTATTTGGTTCCTGATATGGATGATGAAGACGGAGAGGCAGAAGATGATGATGATGATGAAGGGGGGAAGGAGAGGAGGATGAAGGCGAGGATGATTAGCACAGAAGACTGATGGATTCCAACTCTCTTTTTTATTTTCTTTTATTTTCAATTTTCTCCAGTCCCTGGGAGCAAGTTGCAGTCATTTCCCTCCCCTCCCCAATCCCTCTTGTGCTCAGTCGCCCTGTTTTTGAGGTCTCTTCTCAACACTATGGTTCTCAACTTATTTGGGGGGAAATAC